TGTGTGTGTGTGTGTGTGTGTGTTTCCTCAGATGATGCTGAAGTACAAAGATAAGAAGTGGTACCAGCTCTGATGGCAGTGTGTGGACTGTTGGACTTTGATCATGAACACCAGTATCTCTGAGGAGCTGGAGGTCCTTCTTTCCTTCTTCTCTTTTTTTCCTTCCCTCATTCGACAGAATTGTGCTTCTTCTTTTTTTTCTCGACACAGTCTCTTGACTTTGCAGAACAGCCAGTAAGATGGGAATGAAAAGAAACAGAGGGAGCAGCTCTGTGGCATCTCCTCTGTTTTACCTGATGGAGAAAATGTGTAGAGCTCTTAAGGATGCACTCCATCACAACACTCACAGATATATATATACCTACAGATTTTTGTTCTGAGGGAGGAAAACGCTGTATGGGAAAAGGCCAATTTACACCTGCTTTCCTTTCTAAACCCTTTATTGTGTCTGCCAAACACCTTAACGAGGAGAAAAGTCTGATCGTTTGAAACTAATCAAATAGGAATGTTTGGACCTCTGTTTGTTAAATTATTTTGTTTTCTGCCACGTATCAGTCACCTGCATCTGTTGTATTTTGTGTATAGAAAGAGTATATCAAGATCTTAGAGTGAGTAAAACTCCAGTTGGAATCTGTTGCCTCTCTGAATAAGGGCTGGTAGTTTGATCACCAACTATACTTTATCAAAAGTTGCTTTGGTTGGAAACTGCTTTTTTCCACTTTGTTTATTATAGAATGAAGTAGATTTTTATGGGAGAAGATTATATATATATATATAAAGGAGAAGAAATGTGTGTTGGGCATTTTTGTTTTATTTGTTAAATAAGTTTGCAACAGAGTGCTGAAAATGTTTACCCCAATGAATAGTTTACATTGATCTGTCAGATGAAATGATCCACTGGAAACCCTGAAGGTCTAATGTTTTGTGGCTTTCATGTTTTTTTTTTTTTTTTTTTTTGAGAATATTGAAGGTGTTAACAGGCCAAACAAAGATTGTCCTTAATATAAAAAGCCTAAATGTATATTTTGGTTACGATTTAAATATTTCTGTGATAAAGGTTTATGTGTACATGATTGCGCAGACTTGTTGTGGATATTCTTGTGTAGCTGGGTTGATTTTGTCTTGTCTCCTCACTGCATTTAGGAAAAGGCACATGTGTCTTACAGCACAATGGAAGTGAGGATGTTCTTCTTGTACTTGTAGCTGCCAGCAGAAAGGACCGAGCACAACAACTTGTTGTACACCCTGCCACAGCTCGTCTCTTTCAGAACCTTTCACAAAAAAAACAACTCTTCTTTTGCCTTTTGCCTCATGACACACATGCTAACCTCTACACACACTCCAACATACATGTATGCAGGAGTGTGCTTCTGATACTACATAGATGCAGTGTATTACTGTGAGGTTTTTGCTTAGTGTTTTTTCAATGTGTTTAAATTTTTGGTTCTTCACAAGTTGCAAGGATATGCTGCTATTTGTTTCAGTATAGGAGCATAATCTGGTCTTTATTTTGGAAAAAGTGTTGAGACTTTGTAGGTCCAGTTTTCTGCCAAATGTTGTAAATATTGCGACAGCTGGACACAAATCTGACAGTGCAGATGATGATGTGTACGCTTCCAGCCATGTTCTGTTCTCACACCAAAGAGTTGCCTAATTTCACAGAGTTGTCTTGATTTCCTCCCCTCTAAAGGATCAGACTAATGCTAGTTTGACACTTGTGGTCCACTGTGTGTGAGAAGGGATGCCAAATGGTGGCTTCTCTTGCTATTTTATTTAATTTAAACTGCTGTACATGTGTTCAGAAATTAAACAATGACTTTGAAGTGTTTTGTTCCAAAATAATATATCCACCAAAAAAATCCAGCTATATTGGCTGGATATAGTCAGATATATCATGCTTATCTGCATAAAACGTACCCGATGTTTTTATGGTCCACATTAAACTACATCCCTTCCAGGTATAAAAAATCATTTCTTACAAAAATTCTTCTGGACACGGATGAATTCAAGGTTGATGCTAAAAATCATGGCTTTGACTATGAATATGACATCTGATCATAATTGTCAGATACAGTATTTTGCTTCAGGTCTGTTCTTTGGTGACATCTTGAAAACTGATTGCTTAACTAAATACAGGCACCTGGTATTGAGTTGATGAAGTAATTTATTGCTGTTATCCAAAAAAAATATGTCAAAGTATAAAAATCTGAGCTTTTTGGAAATTTAGTCATGCGCTTTACCAGTGGTGGGCACCAGCCTGCTAAAGTGCAAATCTGCTAATTGCAGACCTAAATATTTCATTTGCGCTTTAGCGGTCTTACTAATTATTATAATTCATAAGCGGATTTGCGCTTTCTAAAATTAAAATGTCGTACCGCTAATAACTAATTATCTACCAGTCATCATTATCTTGAACAGCAGAAGGTATGGCTGTCAATGAATCACAACACACATGATCTATCCAACAGCACCCCTCCCAGATAAACACACTTATTGAGAAGGTATACATCCTTGCTGACTGTTGCTTTGGGTCACGGTTCTGATTTCCCACAATGCTTTGTGTCTGCTTACGTAGCAGGAAGGCAATAGCAAAAACAGTTAACGTTTGTAATCCATACTAAAATTTTGTATGTATTGATTTATTTTACTTTACAATCAGAGCTCCTTTTCTAAAAATAAAAAAAAGTTTAAACGCTGGAGCTCAATACTTGACGTAATTGGTTGAAGCAATCCGCCAACGGGGTTAGACAGACATCTAGTGGTCAACTGGAGCAACTACATGGAAAACTTTAGTTTCCCGTCACAAATCAAATCTGTCAAGTTTACATACATGATATAAAAAATATGCATTTTTTTCACACTGTCTGACACAAAATCAGAATAAAATTTTCCTGTTTTCAATTAGGATTACCAACTTTTTTATGTTTGCTAAATGCCAGAATAATGACAGAGATTTTTAAAAGGAATTTTAATTACTTTCTTCGAAGTCAAAAGTTTAAATACTCAACACTCATACTTAATAATCAGTACTTGGTACCATTGCCCTTAAACTGTATTATATGACTTGGATCAAACGTTTTGGATATTCTTCAATAACCTTCTCACAATAGTTGGCAGGAATTTTCTCATTCCTCCTGACAGAACTGGTGGAACTAAGTCATGTTTGTAGGCTGCCTTGCTCGCGTCTTTTCAGCTTTGCCCATAAATTTGATAGGATTAAGATCAGGGCTTTGTGATGGCCACTCCAAAACATCGACTTTGTTATCACTGAGCCACTTTGTAACCAGTTTGGCAGTATACTTCGGGTCATTGTCCATTTGGAGGATTAATTTGCAGAGTTTGAACATTCTCCTCATGCTTGCGTGGGTTATCTCCATGTACTGTGGCTTCTTTCCACAAACTAAAAACATGCACAATAGGTTGCCTACAGGCCAAGGACCCCATTACAAAAGAGATCTGTGATCTGAGTGGGATTTGCTTGGTTAAATAATGGTAAAATAAAGTTGAATGATATCTACACAGAAAGTGTCAAGGACTTGGAAAGAAGTATAAAGCCCACCCATGTGACTGTATGCAGTTCTGCCCGATTCAGCCTCTGCCAAATGTGTCTCCATTGAGGTTACAGCTGTGCACTTTCAGAACCTCCTTTCCAATGGTTCTAAGCAGGTAGTTGCGAGTATACGCTTACAATTTAGACATTAGCAAAATGCTGCCCGTGGATTAGCTCTCGGATTGACTGACAGAGAAAAGGCGTACAAACGTCCTCCTGAAGAGCACAGCCTTTGTTTTGTGATGATGATGATGATCATGAAAGCCTTTATTGTCATCGTTTGCACAAAGAAATTACATTTAAGAACACCCATTCAAGAAGATACATGACAAAAACATGGGGGAACAGGTGATCAGTTCATGCGGCAACCAACAGGGGTTGCTTTACCTTTAAAAAGCTTGGAATACACACAATAGGAAAGATGAGTTAAAGTATGCTCTGATCCTATGTTTACACAGAACCACAGAATCATATGCTAAAAAGACCCCCACTCGCATAGTGCAAGGCAGCTAAGGAAAGGAGGGGGCTGGGGATCAAACACATGGTACGGGGTAGGAAGCAGCAGAGCCGGTGACGTTTAAGGATAACACTCCATGCTGGAATCAACCAAAGCACAAATCACCAGAATCCAGTTTCACTGTCTCCACCCATTGTGGCCTTCAGACTGATCCACCCACGGATGAAACGGGTAGGGGATGGGGAGTCAAGCCTTTGTCTCACGTGTCTTCCAAGGGAGTTTTGTTAACTGCCGACCAAGGTCAGCAGCTGCAGGGATCGAAAAGAAAACATAATTGTTTGGGACATGCAGCCTTGATTTTCTCACTGCTTTCAGTCTTTAGCATCTCTGTGATGGCGAAATGCTGAATGTTCCAAATTTCACTTACCTCCTCGCCTCTCTTTCCATCTGAAACTTCACCCAGATGTAATCCCTACATCTCATGGGCACGCTGCTGAACTGTGATTCTCGCCAGAATCAAATCCAGTTTGCAATTTATATCCCCCAACATCACAGTCTTTGCATTTTCAGAACGGGAGATTCCATCCAAGGCTCCTGACAGCTTAACACAGGCCCGGACTGCTGTCAGGATCACTTTCATTTTCCGATAAGCCAGAACTCCTCCACAGCCGATCAGCAGGAATCCAGTTATCATAAATCCAAATAAGAACAGATCTTCCACGTCTTCAATGGAAAGCGGCACGAAACAGATAAAGCTTCCAACCCAAGAACCAGACACTCGCCTGGCCGCCACCATTCCACTGGGACAGCTGCGCTCCCCTCGCTCCAATCTCAGTGTGGAAAAAAATAGTGTTGATTGCATTCAAAGACCAGTTGACCAAATCCATAATTCCTTTTGTTTTCGGATGATAGACCCAAGGCCAATACGAGCGTGCGATACGACGACATGGTGTAAGCAGTGATAAAACTATGGTCTAACCTTTTTGGGAAAGGCAGAACTTGCAAACACTTCCTTGAGAGAGGTAAAGGCGATGAGCGCTGGACAAAGCCGAGCAGATATCCCGGGAGGTTTCAAACAAACTGGCCGCCCACGGTTATGCAAGCGCTGAACTGTAAAACCACAACCGCTTTTTTTAAAGCACAACAACTGAAGCCACTGTGGATGGTGAACTTAGATGTTCGGTAGACCATAGATCTTTTTTATTTAATAGCTGATATGAAAAAACGAGTCTCTGCGCCTCAGTGGAGAGTTTTCGTGACGTTGGAGAGATGGATCATAAGAATCATGGATGAGGCGATTCTATTGGGCATGACTGCTTTGGGTGGACTGGACTGACACAGTCCCGATCAGTCTGCCAGCTCCTTCTGGAAAGCTCCTGCGGAACCCAGTTCAGTCGCTGCTGCTGCACGTGCTCATGCGGCGCATGGCTCCTCGCTGTGTTGCGCTTCCAGAGCGGAGCAGTGCCAAACTGAAAAATAATTATTCCTGAAAATGGCTGATGAGCCATTCATCATCGTGGATCACAAAATTCTCTTTATAAATAAATGCTCTGCGTGTTACACTATTTATTATATCCTCCAGTAAGGCTGAATCCGTTCCTGGTAAATGTATTTTTGGCACAACTTTGCGCATCCTTTACATAACTGTGTCAATGTGGATGTAATAATTGTTGATCATGTGTGTCTGGTGTGAACAATAATCATTTTCACATCATCAACAGTTTCTCAGAATCACCTCTAAGTGTCGCCAATGGAACCAGAACCACAGAAACCTGCGTACACCAGCCCTGGAGATGGTGTGGGGCTGCGCACATTTCCACGTTCATTTCAGTTTTGATACATCCGGAGTTTTGCGTGGAAAATGGTGTACGCAACAATTTTGTGCGTGATGAGACATTTTCAAAATATACTATTGACTCAGTTTTATGTTTTTTTAGTATTGCCTCTGGAAGCCATTGATTCTTTGCCATTTATTTGTAAATAATAAATCAGATAACATGTACTGTATTAAAGCAGTGATTCTCAACCCTGATCCTCAAGGACTCATTTCCTATATGTTTAGATGTTTCCCTGATTTGACACACCTGGTTTGAATGAATGAGAAATGAACAATCTTCTGAAGACCTGCTGAAGAGCAGGGAAACAAGTCAAACATGCTGGATAGGGGTCCTTGAGGACCAGGGTTGGGAACCTCCAAGTCAGTAAAATAATTCCCAGTTGGAAATGGAACAATGTCATCAAAGAGAAAAAATAAATCCAGCTTCAGTCACTCGTCTTCTGAAAAGAAACGGACACTCGAAGCTGTGAAGACAAGTAGACAGAGTTACCGTATTTATTCAAGTATATACGTGAATTTTAATCCATAAAATCATCCATAAAGTTGGGGGGTAGTACACTCGGATAAATATTTTTACTTGTGTATTTTAACTGAAATATTGGCAAAATTATTGAGTCCGGAAATGAGACCGCGTCGTAAAAAGCATTTGAAATGAGCTTACCTTTGACACTCCTCTGAGCTTCAGAGAGAGATAGTAACAGATCCAGGCAGGAGACATGATGTGAAAAAAAGGGATAAAAGTATTCCTGCCCCTTAGTAATGATAACGAACTAATGACATTAGTGTGTGACTGAGCCGCTCCTCAAACAACAACAAATACATGTTCGTCTGTAATGGCTGCCGTCTACCGGTGTTCTGAAAAAGTTTGTATCCCTGAAAAAAGTTTCCCCACCAGAGGGGGCGCTCGCGAGTAGGAAGTAATCTGCTTGTATCTGCTTGAAGATGGCCCAAATCTCATGTGAAGTCTCTGACTTTTGTG